AAGGTACCATGGAAGATGCAGGTATTTTGAATGTATGGAAGACAGATGATCGACATGATGTAATACGTTTTGGCCAATCACCATTAATATCAACTGATTGTAAAACTTTGCTAAATGAATGATTACATATAATCTAATAAATAAATAAATAAATAAATTTCTCATTTTATTTATATAACAAATAAATTTACAATTTGTGTTTGTGTAGCCACTGCCCATGTATTTGTTGCTATTGACCATGATATATCAACAATGCCATCATATGGCCATGGAAAAGATAACAGTGAACTATCGGGTTTATACATAATAAATTGTTTATTAAGTTGATGATAAAGACATAAATGATGATTTCCATTAATTTCAAGAAAACGCCAAAATTCATTTCCCAAATCGATTGTACGTGCATAAGCAAAATCAAGATGTTCAAATAGCGAAACATATTCATTTCGTGATACTTGTTCATAAAAATCGATAACCGTATTATCTTTATCATCTTGTTTATGTTTGCGAGATTCATAATTATCTAATCAATTCAACAAGAAAAATAAAATAAAAGATAAGTAATTTTAAAAATGAAGAATATATATATATATATATTTTTTACCTGCATCAGTAAATGTAACATGATTAATACCAGGTGTATCAACAGTTGGTCTCCAACCATTTTCTAATAAATTTGTCCAATGTTCTCTTTCAACTTCAAACCATGTTTCATTTGAATTTTGATTCGTAGAATTTAAATGTCTTCGAAATTGTAATTTTTTATCATGAACATCATCACTTGAACGACGAAATGATAAACGATGAGAATGATGTTTATGTGATGCAGATCGATGATGTGTTTGTTGTTTGGTTTTTGATAATGATGATGATGAACATCCATAAATTTGGTTATCAACAGCACGTATTTGATTTCCTTCAAGTGTTCTTGAACGATATTTTCGATCACGAATTTTAACACTATTTGCTGCTTGATCATATAATTGTACTATATCTGGATTTGTTAATTGTGATGATATTGTCTTTTTATTTGTAACATTATTATTATTTAAATGATGATTTTCATCTTCTTTAAATTCTGCTGGTGAACTATTATTATATTTTGTTCGTAAATTTTTTCTTATTTCTCTTAATCTTTGAAAACGTCTTATAGAATCATCAAATGATTCAAATGCAAGTAATTTATGATTTTTTTTAAATGGTGTTTCATTATGAACATTTTCTTCTTGTTGTTGATGTTGTTCTTGTTGCTGCTGTTGTTGTTGTGATTGTGGTTCTTGTTCATTGGTAATATTTGTTATTAAACGTGCATGTCGACGATTTGTATTATTTGTTTGATTAGCTTGTTTTTCTTGAAATGTGGTACTTGTTTTAGTTGTTGTTTCTTTAGATTTTGCATCATAAGAATATTCAGCATGATCAAGAGATTGTAAACGTGATTGCTAAAAAGAAAAATTTATAATAATTTGGTGTTTTTTTTTTCAAATTCATCATCTACTTATGAAATTATTTAATACTTTAACAAATATTTTTCTTTTAAAGTTTTAATAGAACATAATCGTAGTTTATCCATGATAAACAATTTTTTTTTGATTTTAGCCAGATCAAACATTTGAGTACAATTCCCAGTGAAAAATGTTCACTGATTTCAATCGGATTTTTCTGCAACAAAAATCAAAATTAAAATCGATTGATAATTTTGATTATTATTGATCATGACTTAACCATTACTTGATATTCTTACTTATTCAGTGTGGAATATTCTAATTAAAATCCATTATTTTGTAGCGAAATCGAGATTATAAATCGATTAATAATTTCGATTTTGGTGCAAAATAATGGATTTTAATCAGAAAATTCCACACTGAATAAGTAAGAATATCAAGTAATGGTTAAGTGATAATCAATAATAATCAAAATTATCAATCGATTTTAATTTTGATTTTGTTGCAGCAAAATCCGATTGAAATCAGTGAATATTTTTCACTGGGATAAACTCAGATATTTAACTAATAAGAATAATAAGCTATTTAATTTATTTATAGAAAACTAATCGATGAAATAATCGACATAGTTAGAGATTTAATCAAGGAGAAAATTGATGATAATTTGATCGAATCATGTTATAAGATTGAGTAGTGTAAAACTTTGAAAACATGCAATTTGAGATATAAAAATTCGCTCATACGAGTTAAAATGATTTCATTATTCGATTACATAAGTATTCTATTCTATTCTATTCTATTTTTCGGGGATGGGACATTTCATAGTGATTAGATTTTTTGTTATGATTATAATTTTCTCTATGAGTAAAATAGTAATCAAAATGAAGAAAAAAAAGAAATTCTTTATAATTTATTTACTTCATCAGCTGATAATGTTGATGATGAACATTGTGGACTTGTACAAATATCTAATACACGTTTTAATTCTAAACCAAGTTCATTAGTTGTTGATGATGTATCATAATTTTTATCTACAGTTGTCTTTGATGATAAATTATCTTCATAGCGTGATGTTTCTGGTAATTTATTTTGTATATGATCATTAGATATAATTTCACCAATATTTTCATTAGTAATATTACCAACTAATATTAATTTTGATTGTTCTAATTCTTCTCGTATTGATCGTAAATTTGTTGATATACGATCAATTTCACTTTTATTAAGATAATCTAATGGTTCACTTTGCCAACGTCGTTGTTGTTGAGCTTTTTTACGTTCACTTTTTTCAACAAATAATTGTGTATCAAATTCAAGTCGTTCAAATTTATCTAACAAAGTTTTTTCTAATTCACGTTGCCGAGCTAGAAGACGTTTTATAGCTGCTTCTCGCCAATGTTCTAATTTTTTAATGGCACGTGTACGTAGTGTTGGTAAATCATTAAGCATTGATCGAAGCTTATGAACAAGTTCTTCATTAGCATATTGTTGACGAATAGCCATATTTTTGATGATTCTAATAATCGTCTAAGGTCAACAATCAAATTGTCTATTGTTTCATATTGAAAATAAAATATTCAAATAATACAATTGATAATGACTAGAAAACAATACGAATAGATCTTTTACAAGGTCACCTTTGAAAATTAGGTACACTATGAATAATAGATATTAAGTTCACAAATATTTTCTTTTTCATGTAAAAATCGATGAACTAAATTCATACTATACTTACCACGAAGAAGAAGAAAAACCTATGTCAATAATGATATTCGATCTCACTTTTGTTCTCAGATGTTTGCCGTCAGCTACAAAAGTAGACAGTATTTCTATTTGTCTGTTTTATTATTTTTTTTGAATGAAAAAAAAAAGAGAGAGAGAAAAAGACAGGTAGAGAACAAGAAAACAAATCTCGTCTTCTCTCCTTCTTTTTTTCTCAAGTATGTGGGGTGTACTTTACGCTGCATTTCATAGTCAAAGAAGAACAACAACAAATACTACTACCAAGAGTGCTCGTCACTGTTGGCATTTTCTCTTTCTTTTTTTTTTGACGAGCTGGAGCGAGCACACTTCTTGACAAAAGCGAAATATATATGAATAGCCGCAAAAATCAATAAGAGTTTTTTTTTGCTTGAATAGAAAGAGCATTTAGGGACCTCATCTTTTGCTTTTCTCTAAATGCAGATAAGACAGACATACGCATACTAAAGGTAAACTTCATATGTGTTTATAACCTTTAGTAATACTTGAAAGTGAAAATTAGCATGACGAGTGATTTTTAATGTATAATTTTTTGCTTTTTTTTCTTGGTTCTATATGTATGTATTGAAAAGAGTTAGCAATGGCTTTCGAAAGGACTCTCATGTACACAATCTCACTTTTATATTATCGAATTGAGACAACAAAGCAACTTATTTTGAAAGCAAAAACAAGAAGAAATGCATCATATTAAAAGAAAAGAAATATGCATCATACCAAGGGTTTCTTACCGCAATGGCAAAGAGAACCGCAAGGTAAAAATCAATTTGATGATAACCACAAAAAAAAATTGTGACTTTTCACAAATCTCACTTTAAAATATAAAAATTCATAAAAGCCTTATCAAAATAACAAAAAAAGCCTCTAGGATGATAAAATAAATTTCTTTTTGATTTTTTTTTCTATTGGTTTGTATGCTGGTTTGTGGCTTCCTCACTTTCAATGTTCGAATTGTGAAAGAAAAACAACGCACGACATTTTATTTTACCTTTATATTTTTACCATTCGACAACTACAGAATAGAGTGCATCATAAAAAAAGATTGGACTTCAACATCATACAATCCGTCTTCAGTAATATTTTTATTGCAAAAGAAAAAATAATATAACAGTTGACACATCAAATATAAATGTATTCTATATATATGCAAAAGAAGTTGTCGTTTTTTTTCATGCTTAAAATTCGGTTGCATTACAATTTTCGTATTAATAATCAGACAAGCATAAAAAATAGAATAATCATGATAATTTGTTCACTGACAAAGATCAAGTGTTAACTTTGAATTGAAACTTAATGCTTAAATAGTTTTCAACAAGTAAATACAATTATTATTAAACCTGAAAAAGACAGAATAAATAAACTCAAATATCCTTATTCTATTTGAATAATGGCCAAATATATTATGGCCACATATTGTGACAATAATATATCGGGTATAGCGCGTTGAAAAACCATACATAACTCAATAGTATTATATTTATTTTTATTTTCTTTTAAAATGTATGAAAAAAAAAACATAAGAATACTAATAATTATTTTTAGGCACTTAAAAGAAAAAGCAAAGCAAAACAAAACAAATACAATCCGTCACTATTGTTGGAATATATTCTAACAATAAAATACGCATATGACAATAAAAATTAAGAAAATGTAATTGGAAATATTGCTAAACTAGAACTTATTGTGATCTGTATCACATTTTTTATTGTATATCTTCCCTGAGTAACTTATCTTCATAAAACAAACATATCAAAATAATAAAAAAAATCATGGAAATGAAAATGGAAATATAGTTAACTATAATTTACTATCTTCAGCATCACATTGGTGTAAATCTTTTTTCAATATATTTTCTTCATTATATCCTGGTAATGTGGGATCAACAATAATTGTAGTTTGATGGTTCTTACTTCGAAAACTAAATATATAAATATATATTTCAATGAAAATTTAATTTTTTTAATTTACCATATTAAACCCATTCGTTCAACATCAGCAACAGTTTGTGGTAAGAGTTTATTTAAGGTTTCTGGAAACATCAATGCTAATATTGCAGCCACAAGAGAAACAACACCATATAAAAGTATAGGTAAATGAATCCACATACGTGTCTATATGTATGGATACAATAAAACCATATAAATTAATGAAACCTCATATATTTATGAAAACTTACTAAAGAATCATTACAAAGTGTACCAATAATAGCACCAATACGTGCAATCATAGAACAAATTCCCATGCCTGTATTTCTGACATTAGTTGGAAATAATTCATTAGCATAAATATATATAATAGCATAAGATGCAGATGCAAAGAATTTTAATGCACCATAAATTATATTCAATAATATAGTTTGAGCTAAAAATAAATATTGTAAATCAAAATGTCTTTCAAGGTTTTATTTTTATTAGGATACTACCATTACTATTTTTTGTCATATATTTTTGTATAGGTAAGATAAGAAAGGCAACCAAACTAAATAGAATTGCAAATAAAATATAAGGTAATTTACGACCAGTTCGATCGAGTATTAAATGAACGACTATGTAAGCCAATAATTCAATCAAAGCACTTAGACCAAAGGATAAATATGGATTTAAGTCCCATGCTCCTGTTTGAATAAAAATGAAATCGATGTTAATATAATATAGACGTTTTTACCTGTATTTTGTGAAACACCATAAAATACAAGATTTTGCGCAAGCCTTGAGAGAGAAAAAGTAATAAATTCTCATAGAAGTCTTTTTTTGTTTCAGAGACATATTTACCATTGAAAAAAAAGATTAACAGTAATTAAAAACATAATTCTTGATTTAAATAAACTACTAATACCTTCTTGATGTTGTTTACTAGACATATTCTAATAACAAATAAGAAAATTCGTAGAAGAAACAATTTGAAACATAACAAAAACAAACTTTTTCTTGTTCTTCTTTCATTTGCTGAAAAGCATTTTGATCAAAATCTCGTTTATTTTGAGTTGCAATATGACGTAAAATTTTTTCAGCATCATCGAAACGTCCTTTACTAACAAGCCATCGAGGACTTTCAGGTAAAATACTAAAATAAGTTTTTATTTTTGTTTTTCAATTTTTTTTTAATATTAGTTACTTACAAATAAAAGAATATATACGGTACAGTAAATAATGAAATAGCACATGTTAATCTTCTCCATGTTCGAATCACAAATGCAAAGCATAAGAGAAATAATTGTCCAAATACAAAAAAATATTCAATTACAATTCCCGTTAATAAACGTTTACTTGGTCCAACTGGAAAGAAAAATTTGAATAAATAAAAATTCAATAATAATTTAGTTTTTACCTATTTCTGAACCAAGTACAAAACCAGATACAGATATTCCTCGTGTTGAACATGCAAGTAAAAAACGAGCTATTACAAAAATAATATACGATGGCAAAACTCCTAGTGCATCTTGAGGACCAAATGCACATAGAAATCCTGAGAAACTCATTAGAATAAAACTGACACTCATTATAGGACGGCGACCATATCTATTCAATAGAAAAATTTATGGAAGACTTTGATACATTTACAATCTCACTTGTCAGCTAACATGCCAAAAAATATAGAACCCACCATATAACCGACGAAAAAAATCATTTGTGCACTTGCACGATAAATCTGACGATCACAAACCATAGTCCACTAAAAGAGTTATACAAAATGAAAATAATATTTTATAACTTGAAAATTTTTAAAATGGTTTTCACCTCTTCAACTAATGTTTTTTCATAATAAACTTTATCAAAAACATATTTATTACATGGTTCTAATTGTGTATCAGATTGACTAATGTTTTCATGAAATTCTAATACTGGTCGTACATAACAACGTTGACATTCTTTAATTGATATACTACTTTTTTGTTTTTGGCATTGGCTTTCAGTTGGTTTATATTTCGAATCAAATAATTTATTGAATGATGCATTATAATTATCATTTGACATTAATTCAGGATGTTGACATCGAATATTTGGTATAGCTGCTGTAAATGTATAAGTATATACCATTATTGGTGGTAACATATATGTCAAACAAATAATAGTATATTTTACTTGTTGAAATCTACCCCAATCGCCAACTGTTGCAAGAAAAGTATCGAATTTCATTTATTTTGCTGATCTACAAGCAGAACAAAAAATAAGTCTGATGCATATTTTAGACAAGAAAAAAACGGTTTGGAATGACTAGAATAAATATGATGATTAGTACACATAAAGACAAACAAAAATAGATAATTATTTGTACGAAAAAGAAAAGGTTTTGTTCTATGAGAATTTACAGAAAAAAAAAACATAGGAAATTGTAAATGCATAAAAATCTGATTAGTAAAATAATACGTTAAAGTGATACAGAAGGATATACTAACATTTTTCACAGAAAAAACACAACGACAAATAATAAATATTAATTAGGCAAGAAAAAATAGAATGTTAATTAAGCATATGGATCAAATATGAGATTATCTGATGATGCACTTGTCTCGCTCAAATCAAGTAAATCAGTAACTACTTCATTTTTCTTTTTATTTTGATTTAAACTCAGATTTTTGAGTGTTATTGATGGTTGAGAAGCAGTAGTAGTAGCAGCAACAAGGGGTGTTGGTGTTAATACTTTTGTAGGTATAAGTTGTGGTTGAGATTGATGAAAGAAATTATTGCTAGTATTTATTAAAGTTGAAGAAAACATGTTTACAGATGAATTGTTTTCTCGAGAAGGTTGTGAAATCATATTGAATGGATCAATATGAAAACTAGAAGTTGTCGCTGATGGATAATGATCTAACAAAAGAAGATTATTAATTCCAATTCAAAAACAAAAGAAAATTCAAATTTTAGAACAAATAAAAACATCGAGAGCCAATAACTAATGAAAATAGCCATTACGAAAATTTTTATTTTTTTTCTATGTCAACCTATTCCATAAGGTGTCTGAAAGAAAGTAAGTTCAGATAGAGTTAATCATATAGCACTTATTTGTGCTATGCATATGTTGATTGAATCCGATTGTTGATGATATTCAGTACTTTTTATCTACTCATATCATGAACGACCTGGGTATTTTCATATAGTTCGATAGCACTTTTTGAGTGCTTTAACAATGGAATGAAAACATCGAGGTACAAAAGCTGGTCACATAAAGAAGTCCCAAGGATATTATTCTCGATATATGATTTTCTTTTATCTGATATTTAGTAGATTTTGATCGGAAATATACGATTTGGATAAAAATTATGCTATTTTGAATCAGAGTCCAAAACTAAGTGAACTGCTGTGTCTTTCGAAGACTTTTGCAATCATTATTGTTTTCGTCGAAAATTCAACCGTAATTCTCGGTATGGTTGGATTACAAACTAAATTCCATGAAAACTCTGTTTTTATCATTTATTCATCTGGTATTTGGAGTTTTATGATCGATTTATAATCTTAGAACTTTATTCTCACTGTTAAAATAATTTTTCGATGAAAAAAAAATTGTGAAAAATTTTTGAAATACACGAAAGTCTACTAAGTTTTCGATGCTGATTAAGAATATCATATTAGTTTTATGTAAGTTGTATTTTTTTCATCGCAATCTACTAGATATCACACACAGAAATTTATTTTGGAGAGCTGCAAAAGTGCTATAGATCCATACAAAAATTAGCCTGATTAGCGATAAAATCGGTTGACTTTAACAGAGATTTTCAGTAGGCAATCCTAATACTAGAGCCCTATCAAGGCAATGTGTTCCATGTAGAGTCATATGGGACAATAGTTTGTTCGTGATATTTTGATACTATTTTGAAGATATTGAAAAGTGCTCTCTAGTGATATGAGTACTAGTTTGATTGATCTTCGGACTGATAGATAAAAAGAGTTGATCATTCTCAAGAGCCAGATATAGTGTATGTAGACAGCATCCAATAATTTAATTAACCAAAACATAGCAAAAACAAGTGTTACAGGTCTAATTATATCAAGAATCACTTTCAAACATCTTAAATGAAAGTTTGACATGACACATCATATTTCTGTAAAGGGTCAATTTCATCAGTTATCAACCGTTCGCCTTTACCTATTCCAGAATTCGTAGAAGTTGATGAATCAATAAAATTAAATGGATCAAATATATCATCATTCAATAATGACTAAAATATAAATGATGCTTTTTTTTTTCTTTCTTTTATTTGAGACTACTTACATTTGGTTTTTGATCATTTGGATTAGTATCAGTTGGAATGTCAAAAGATGCAAATGAAATCAATTCACCAACATTATATTCATGTCGACTTTCATCGATATCAGCGGCACCTGTTAATATCGATTCTTCATCAGGAACTAGAACAAAATAAATTTCATTAAAACAAATTTTTCCATTTAAAACGAATAATTATTTTTGTGAAACGAAAAAAACAATTCGCTTTATTATTATATGATTCATATATATATATATATATAGATTCATATATAAATTGATAACAAATAAAAAGTCATTTTCATTGCTCGGATAGAAAGGGGATAAAAAGAAGAAAAGTGAATTCATTGCATCTAATCTATCGGTTATGTGCAACGGGTTCAAGCTTTGTTTCATGACTGATTGGATTTTGAAAGTTCATCACCACCACTGGTACGACTAGTTGCATCACTGTTTGTTGCCACCTTGTCATCATCATCAGTATTCGAATTAGTAAATGATTTAGGTTTTCTCTTCACAGATTTTTTAACTTTTTCTTTCATTCTATTGGAAATTGATTTTGACTTCGAATTAATTTGTTCATTGTTCGCTAATTTCATTGATGATAATGATGTTTTATCTGATTCGATTGGTGCAATAGATAGTTCAGGATCTAAGGAAACAAAAGCCATCTGTTTTGCCAATCCTTCCATCATAGTCATTAAAGTAATTGAAGGAGTTCTTTCTTTTTTTCTTTGACGTTTTTCATGTTTTAATGAATGTTTAATTTCTTCTGTATGAATTTGTCCATAATTAATTTCTATTCCGTGTTTTTTCATATGATATCGTTTATATTTTTTATAACGATCTTTTGGCCAATAGACGATTCTTTCTTGAAAAAATAATTTTAATGGACCTTTATTATGCCCATGAATTCTTTTCTTTGGAATTTTTCTTTCAGCATGATATTCATCATAGGATGAACTTGATTCCGAATCTGATCCATAAGGAGCTTCAGAATCAGTTGATGTTGGTGCATCACTATCACTACTTGATGATGATTTTGAATATTCTTTCGTTCCATCCATACTTTTAGTTTCATCATCAGAATCGGAATCTCGAACAAATATATCACCATAAGTACGACGACGTTGTTCAAATGTTCGCTCAGATTCTTTAATTAATTCTAATGTTTCAATATCATATTCATTTATTGTATTTTCATTATCTGTTTTTGATGTTGTGATTGAATTTTTTTCATCAGCAACTAGAAGGGCAGAATAAATTATAGTAAATATAGTTGTTTGTTGATTTGTTTATCTTATGTAGATGTTAATATTAACCATTCCCAGATTAGAAATAGATTAACTGTTTCTTTTAAACTGATTCTCTCTTACTGCCAAACAATTTAGACAAATCAAAATTGTACATTGATATGTGTCCATATTTTTTCTTTATTGTTAATGGAGAAGACGTTTCCATTGAAAATAATATTATTATATCAGACATAGTTCGTGTTAGAAATTTTCTTATAGCGCTAAAAGAAAAAAAAAATCTTCTTTTCTTACCAACGCCAGCTACTGTAACATCTTGTAAAGTTGAAAGTGATTCACGAGATGGTTGTTGATACGAACCAAGATCACTAGAGAAAAGAAACAAAAATACTTGAAAAGAAAATGATAAAGAAAAATGAATTTACTAAGCAACAGATTTTGAATACATTGTTTCGTCAGCATTAGAAAAGAGAAGATTTAGTTTTTGATTTAATGCAAAATCTTCATTTATCGTTATTAAACGTTTATTGAAGCTAAGACCATTTGAAAGCTAAAAAATAGATCATGCAACAGTTATCAATGATAAATGTATATGTTAAAAAAACGTAAATAGAGAAAGATCAGATTGTAAAACGATCTGATACATTAAACATGCTATCTGACAAGTTTTTTCACTTAATGTTAACCAGAACTTTCGTCCTTCATGTATTCATTTTTTTTCGTGAATACTTCGGTTAATTGACAAAAAACATTATTCTCAATTCATTAGGTTGATCATTTTGAACAACAGATTTTTCGTGCGAGCAATATCGAGGTCAAACAAATATGACGATAAACAACTGTATAGAAAGATATATAGTGATTTACAAAGGAAAAAAAAAGCTACTTTACTCTCACCGTACACGACCTCCGTTTCGCTTCATTTCTCTCCGTATATAATTGTATTATTTCGCATACGGTCACGAATATAAATGATTTTCATACTAAAGCGTATAATAAGGTAAAATACAAAACATATATGATGGTTCACAGTTGTATATGAACTCTATATTCGTTGACCCGAGTATAGGAAATGTATTCTTAACTTGCATCTTTCTTACGGTCGCTCTATTTTCTATTGTCAGAGAATTTGATCGAAAGAATTCGAAGGAAATTTAATAGAATTTTAATGTGAAACTTAACAATAAAATTCTAGATAAAATTAAAGATATTATTATTCAAGCATTAACTTTAGTTCAAAAAACATTATTGCATTTATTCTTCTTTTTTCTTATATGACAATAATCTGATTATCTAATTGATGTCAAAGATAAATATTCTACTTAGTTTCATATTATTGAAAAAAAAAATGAAATATACGACATCATAAAATGACAAAGATTTCGAATCGTATTGTTCGTAAACTAAAATTATATTATATGAAGCATATAATAATTGCAAAATTGTTATTACGAGACGAAATTTTTACTTTGAAAAAGAAAGGTTTTGAAAAAAATTAAACCACGAAATTCTATTGATAAATATATCTTATCATCCATCGAATATTTGGTAAATTTCGACAAAAAGAGTAAAATTCAACATAACAAAAATGAACATCTCGTACTTAAGTCTTTTCATATAATTCTTGCTGTCAACTAGAGGGTGTTAGCTATATCTTAAGATAGGAACAACAAAGAGATCTAAGATTTTCATAAAAAGAAACTAATCTTGTTCAAGTCTGTCTTCTTTTGCAAATCATTAAAGTGTATCTAACGTTTTATATCATATTACTTGATCTTGTGTTGGTTCCATAACTTTTCGTGCATGTTCACCATTTTCAAAAGACATATTTAATGAAAGCTGTTTATCATTTGATGTAAAACTAAATAAATAAAAACAACGACATGAAAAAAAAAGATTCTTTAATATTTATCAAAACTTTACTTACAATCGATCAACAATAATTGTATCAAATCCATACTTTTTCTGAACATACATATCAAATTCTTCAATTAATTGATTTTTATTTAAATTAACATCATTTTTCATATCAAAAATAATTTGCGCATTTGATGGTTTAAATCGTTCATATATATCAATATATTTTTTATGCATTTTTGTTTCATCACATATTTCAACATCAATATCAAACATTGCACTTACAGGACGATGATCTGATGTTTTAACTTCAGCACGACCATAATATACTTGTTTTGTTTGAACATTCGAAAATATACTACGCCAAAGTATACGATCAGTATATGATGGTGTACGTGCTTTTTCACTGGTATCATATTCATCTGAACCAATATCATGTTTATAAGTTGGAGGAAATTTTATTAGACCTTCAGTAAATTCTCGAAAGACCTGAACAATAAAACAAATTTATCGTATAATTGATTTTCTTTTCTATTGATCATAAAAAAAAAAAAATAAATAAAATAAAGCATACTCGTCCTTCTGCATGTTCTTTTCTTAATTGATCATATTCAAGTAATTGTTTATAAGCTTCATTTTTAATAAATTGTTCAACTTGTACACGTGGAATTGTTAAACGATAATTAAAATCACCAAGAAAAAATATATGATCATGCCATAATGCTCGAGATGGTGGTTGAAATAAAAGTTTTTCCATAATTGATTTATAATCTTTATTACGTTCATTAAATTCATTTTGCCCTGCTGTAAAATGAGCACATATAAAACAGATTGATGTATTATGTAAAACAAGACGAATAGCAACCTAAATTAAAATTATTATTCAATATTATTGATATTAATATATTCTTACACATCCTTTGTTGCCTATTTTACCACCCATGCCTGTTTTAACGGAATCGACAACGATATTTCTATAAAATAATATATAATTATCAAAAAAATGACGTGAAAATTAGTTTTTCAATATACTTGACATATGGTGCAAGATCGCGTCGAATAAATATCGCCAAACATACACCAACGAGTTGATCATTACCCAATAGAATATATTCATCATTTGGATAAGATTTTTTAAAATGAAGTTGAACATTATCAACCCAACGAGTTGCATTAACAGAACTAATAAAATTAAAAAAAAAAGAAATGTTTTTTTTATTGTCTTCACTCTGATAATACGAATCTAAATAATGGTCTATAGCACTTTAAACAACAATTATTCGATAGTGTAAATATGACGTTTGCAACAATTTAGCAAAGTTAAGGATATTAGAGAACTGAAAATGATTGTAATGACATCTTCAATCGATTTTTGAATGCTGATTTATGTTCATTTTCCCTTTCTAAAGAAAAGTTCTAAATTAGATCAGATCATGAAGCATCTGTCGTGGTACTGAATATCAGCATAGGATAGAACGGTTCTGTAGTCGCGACTTAATCTGTAAGACAGAACAGAATAAAAATTATAGTTTTGTTTCTATCTTGCCTATCAGTAGAACAACTAAAGACAGGGCATGTTGCTTCAATTCATTCAATGGCTCTATCTGCTTTACAATAAATCAAATGATATCGATCCAATACAAAATACATGAACTAACTATTCATTAAAAATTCATGGCTGATTTAATTACATTAATCGAATCAAATATCTTCGGTATTAAAACGAAGATGAAGACGAGTTGAAAGTATAGCAGTGATGATTCAACGTGTAACGTAAAAAAAAAAGAAACATACTAACTTGATTGATATTTGAATTTAAAAATTAATGAATCTTAACTAACTATTGATCAATTAATAATTTTATTTAAAAAACAACACATAAATTTAGATTCTCATCTTATATCATTCGATGAATTCATTGAATGCCCGATGCTTCTACAAGTACTGGAAAAAAACCTAATATTCAGCAATACAGCTCTTAATATTAAAAGCAAGTTTATCATAACTTAGAACAGTTAGGTAAAAGCTTTGTTGAATAGAAGAAAAAAAATCTATAAGAAGCCATGTCGTCCGACATATCACTCTATCTTATTTGACGTGACACGACAGAATGGTAATTGATTTTTGTATTATACTCATCTCTGAGAAAAAAAGTGCTTAAAAAGTCATGTTGTATTTGTTTAGTAAATTGAGAGCACTCTCTCATAGAATATTACTGTCTTATGCTATTCAAAAATAGTTGTTCACTTCACGAATAGAGAGGTTCAATTAAAATTAATAAGAAATATTTTATCAATAAGAATATATATGACTTAAGTGTTTCGAAATTTAATCAATTTTCAGTTAAAAAAACAAAGACAAACAATTATAACTGTTTCATATTAGTTGAAGAAAAATAATGATTGTCACGGGATGTACTTGAGACTCTCAAAAACATACAAGATGAGAAGAATAATAAAACCAAAAGAACTTTTTAATTGTTTTTTCTTTTCTATCTAACGATAGAAGCGTTCCTATTTACAATAAAAGTAACTTCTATATAGCAAATACAGTATAACTTCTCAATAGTATACATCCGTCGAACTTTTCAAAAATATCCACAGTAGAATTATATGACAATGTTCACTATAGGAGATTTTTTTGTACGATTCTAATTATACTATTCATTAATACCTTTGCCAAACCATATTTGTAGCTGTTAAATCACAAATTTCTTGAAAACCAATAGCTAAGATATCCGGCATTGATTTTATATAATCATCACTAACAAATCCTAAAAGGAAAAAAAAACATTTTAAAATTTCTCTTTTGTTCATTATTGATTTGTACCAATGGTTGGAATAGAATTATTTTTTCGTGTTTTTGACGAAATATTTTCTGGTCCATCTAATATCCATGCATCAAGAATAGATGGATATTCGTTTTCTAGAGCGGGATTTCTATCACCATTAATATTCCATGTACCAATTGATATACGAAATTTTTCTTTTCTAACAAATTCTTGACGAATTCGAAACATTTCATTTAATATAATACCATCGGCTATGAAAAGAAAAACTCTTAATGAATAATAAAAAAAACATCAATAAATACAAATTTACATATGACATAAGGTGTTAAAAGAGCAGCAACAGAACGTTCATGTAAATATGAGTCTTTAGCATAAGAATAAATTAATGTTTGCATTGATTGTTGTTTTTCATCATCACGTAAATTATTTTGTATAGCTCGACCAAGACTTCGTTGAATATCTTTTGCCTAAATGAATATCCTTTTTTTTTCTTCGTCAGTTCAAAAACATACAGAATTGATTTGATAGTGAAATCGAATTTTTCTTTTTATAATAACAAAGATTTCATTTTAACTATTTCGTATTACTAGTAGAAATGAGTTTTCAATGAGAATTATAAAAGTATAAGAAAAAATTTTCTTTTCAATATAATAATTTACGATTATATTTCTACATCTGAGTCATGTAATAGAGATAAATCTTTTGAAAATTTAAATATTATTTACTTTATTCCTTTGCCCTATTGCACCAGTACCCGTATAAATTCTACTAATATGATCACCATTATTAATCCACATATCTCGTAAATGATCAACTAAATTATTAATATTAACTTCTTTTTTTAAATTGGCTATTTGCATGGTTAAAACAACCATTCCAAGAGTTAATTGTACATTATTTGTTCTATCAAGACAATCAATACAATTAATACGGAAAACACCTTGTTGTAAACTTGAAGTTTTTTCATCCATATAAGTAAATATACTTTGCCGTTCAAGTTCTTGTCCAATTGAATATTGTTTATTTTGTATAAGCATTTTATCAACAAATTGTTCTGGTGTTAAACCTTTTGTAGCTCGTACTTGTTCATGATAATCAAACCAAATAAAATCTCTTTCAGTTAAATAACCAAGTGATGGTTTTTCTTTTTTTTGTTTTGATTGATATGTTTTAACAAGTAATTCAAATAAATTATGATATTCTTCACCAACACGTTTTTCATCATCGCGTTTATCAACTAAATTTATAATTAATACACGACCATAATGACGATAAAGAACTTTAAAATGTCTATTAAATTAAATTCTTTTTTCTTTCTATTTTGTGAAATTTATTTTATTTAACTTACTCAAAAAATGCTTTAAAACTCAATGCTTCACTACGTGACACTGTAATACGATGAGCGCCTACCTAAATGGAAAGAAAAAACAAGATATTAAATATGAAAAATTTTTTAAATATTTATTACTTGAAAACGTGGTTGATGCCAAAACAATGGAATAGAACCACGTACAATAACAAATGATGAATAATGATTTTGTCGGGGTAGAAAAACAACCTGTCACAAATGCACAAAATCAATGTTTTCAAACAATTCTATTATCTAATTTAATCTGATTAGAAAAAAAGCATTATTTAAACTAGACATGCTTTGTCAATGAATTAAATCAAAACTAACACTAAGCGATTTTAATTCTAAACTATTTCAAAAGGAAAAAAAACAATTAATAATCAAAGAAACTTGTACTTTTCAATTTTCTAAACACCCAAATTAAAGAATAAGCAGAAAAAAAAGCATTTCAAAAAAATTATCAATTACGTTAATACATCTTTCAAGTACTCTCTCTCTAACACTTCCAGAACTGAAGTTTGTACTTACATATCTCATTTAGAATATAGAATTAATATTCGACAAACTTAAAAAAAATTATAAGTTTACTCATAGTGTTGACATAATAGAACAATCAATATTGCTAGTTCTTATAATTCTGTCTATTTTTGTACAAAAAAGAGTTCATTTCAATTCGCATACTTTGTCAAACTAATTAATTAGCTTATTTATTCTAACAATGTATATTTGAATTTCGTTGCATTAGCCTACTGATGATTAGTGTATCATTTTTCAATATTTAATTATATCTTACTTGTTCCGTTTCAACAAAATTTGCCACAGCTCCATCATCATTAACACCACGGACATTAAATCGTGTACCAGCTCGCTCACAACTTAATCTAAATAACAAAACAATAAAAAGAAAAACGTCTATTTTCGAAATAAATATTTGATCTACCTTGATATTAACCATAATTCAATATCTTCATTTGGATTTCTATAGGTCTCAATTCCGCCACACATGATTTTTGGTATCCAATAGCGAATGTCAATATTAAATTTAAGCAAAGGCAAACATAAACCACGATTCCTAAGAAAGAAAGAGAAAACAAACTGTTTCTATTTGGTATTTTCCTTAAAAAAGGTGAACATATAGAAGGTCAAATCGGCCTACAAACACTTCTGTTGGTTAAATGAATAGAGTTATATATCAACAGAAAGAGCATATTGAAATTAACATTTTCGTACTATTTCCATGAGGATCAAATTTTGAAATCTGACATACATCAACAACGTAATGCATTTTTTATCATTATTCTAACAATCCATTTCACGATGATAAACTCAATTTGAGAATACGTAGACAAGACAATATACTACTGAAATTATCAATTCCATAGATTATTAATGAGGTTTAAACCTCATATATAAATCATTAGCTTATTGTGTGAATTAACGAAGCATATGTATTGTATTTATCATCCACTGTTATCGTTCAGCATACATTTTAAGTTGAAAACTAAAGTAAGGAAAATTCTTATATTGCTCGTTGAATAACTTTTTTGACAATCTACAAAATTATGTATTTTCCAAAGACAAAATAATTTAGTCACTTGAAAATTCCTTAATACACTATTCTTCGGAATCAATTTTGTGTCTTTTCGATTAATATTTAGAAGATTTGAGTCAGAAAAAGTTCAGTTCCGGACAAAACTTATATGATAGTCGGAATGAGCATAAAAAACTGAGTTGATTTATATAACTTTTGGACAACTTTTGTAACATTTTTCTCGTCGAAAATTTACCCGCCCTCTTCTTTCTGAAGGACGAAATGGAAAATAAGTGACGTCAAAATATTATTTGGACATTATTAAGAAACCCTGAAAGTTGTTTAAAGTTATTATATAGCAATATGACAGCTATCTACGAGTTGACCAAGAGAAAACTAGTAGGCTGATTTGACTTCTTATGCACCTCTCTCTCTCTCTCTTCTGTATTCATGTAAAAACAAACCAAAAAAATCGAATATCTGAATCATGTCCTTGAACCATTCTTTGAGCACATAATGTTATATCATATGGTTTATTAAAATAACGTTTATTATTATTCAATTCTGGATTGAAAAAAGTTGCATAATAAAAACAACGTCCTTGAAATAATTTTCTGAATATGCAAAAAAGACAATGAAATAATCAATTAATTGAAATGAAAATTTTCTTTTTGTTTTACTTTATTCCAGAAACAAAAATTTCATCTTCTGGATTATCTCGCATAGAAATAGTTGCTACTTGTGAAATACCTTTAAATAATAAAAAAAAGATGTATTCAATCTTAGTTATTGGTTTATCTTCATACGAAAAATATATGCATCAAATAATTGTCCAATGAATACTTCTTCAGTTACAAATATCATAAATGGTCGAATAATACCAGCAGCTAAAACAAATTAATATGTTTCGTGTTTTTTTTTTTTTTTTTGAACAACGAAAACAAATGAGAATTTTAATACGAACTATTTGCAGTAATACTGTTTGCTGAACTGTTCAATACCAAAACACCAAGAAAAGCTTTTGCACGAAGAAGTAATGTTGATGGATTATCTGATGAATCATTCAAACCTTTTAAAATAAATTGTTTTTTTTTTTTATATTTTTCTTCAAGATGAATTGTTCGTAAATAAAAAAAGAAAGAGAAGTAATAACACCCTACGGCAAAATCTTATTACAAGAAAATCTTTTTCGCTTATTGCTAGAATGAAATCCTTTTGTCGATTAAAAGGTTTCAAAAATCGAATAACCTTTATCATATTTTTAGTTATTAAAGTGTATATAGATGGCTTGAGCTTTTGTTGCGAATATAATCTTGCATCCTGGAAGGTTACTTCGTCTCTGATGTTATTAACGACAGAAAATATCTCTGCTCTTGCGTTCTGTTGAAATATAGAATTAATTCTTGTTGACTTGAAAAATTCTTTTATTTCTCTTGAAAAACGATCTATATTTCAATTGACTTTTCATCTCAATTTCTCACCTGATTGTTGTTCTAAACCAGAAAATCTTGATGATGTTGATGAAATTGGTGCTGTATCCGGTGATAAATTCATATTATTCAACTGACTTATAGTAAATGGGAGCGTATATGAATTCGCATTATTTTTTTGTTGTTGTGCTTGATATCGAAAATAAAGTACATCTGAACGACTTGGTGATGATGCACTAGCTTGTTGTTGAAGTTGAACATAAAATGAACCATTTGTTTGTTGTGGAGCTGGTGTTTGAGATACATCTGAAGGATTTAATGGTAGAATAGGTTCAGCTTTTCGATATAAAGCTACACTCCAATTTGAAACTGGAGCTGCTGGTGGAATAGTTGTTCGAGTTGGTTCAGTTGGAGCTGCTTTAGGAAACATTTTGACTTGTGTTTTGACGAAAACAAAAAAGAAGACTTGATAATTTCTTTCAAAGAAGAAGAAGAGAAAAAAAACAGAACTCTATGTTCATTTGTTACATTTATAACCAATTAGAAAATTCGAATAATTAATTAAATAAAAAAAATTCTAAAAAATAAAATAAAATTTAAAATAATGACTTAAACATTTATTTTTACATAACTATAATAGAAATTCTCAAATTCAATGCAATTGAGGTCACTGTATTCGCTATTTGTAAAGCATTGTCATCCATTTAATTCATCATCATTTTGTTTTATCCTTGTGATTTCTAGGTCTACGTTCGCAATAGCTTATCATGTCGAATACACTCACTGAGAGTCAATTATCTGATAATCAAAATACATCATCAACAGAAAATTCAAAACAAGAATTAAATTCTAATGATGGTTATACACAAAGACAAATACAAAGTTCATTTCAACCATCAGCTGTAATTTTTGTTTTTGTTTTCTTGTTTTCATCAGTAATTATTTATCGATTAGAATGTTGAACAAGTAGCTGATCAACTTCAAACATTAAATGTAACACCTAAAGTAACTATGCGAGTAAGTTAATTAGAAAAAAATAAAATTTTATTTTATTTATAAATTTTTTATTTATTTGTTTTTTTTTGCTTAGTCTGATGCTCCACCATTTACACCAGCATCTGAAGCAACAAAAACAACAACAACAACAACAACAACGGATGATTCAGAAACAAAAATCAAAACAGAATTTATTTATGATTTAAATAAATATAAATATGATTATTTTCTATCTGAACTTTCATGTAGTTTTGATCGGGAAAATGGCAAATTCGGCGCACCAACTGGCATATGTACTTTACCTGATGATCGTTTATTAGTTGCAAATTTCGATCGTGATTCTGTTTTACTTATTGATATTAAAGGTGTTGTTCATCAAATATTTAAAGATTTACCAACACCAAAAGCTGTTATTTATAATTCATCGGCATCATCATCACAAGCCGTTGTTGCAACAAGAAAAGAGGCAGCTATTTTAGATTTAAACACAAATAAAGTTATTACAAGAAGTAAAATTCGAGGATTTTATCCATGGAATATTCAATATGTTGAAGAACGACAGGTTTATGCAGGTATATTAAAAAAAAAAAAGAACAAATTGTTTATATTAGAGAACAAAATGATATTCATTAACAGTAGAAATAATCAAGATTAGTTTTATGAAGATCTTGAAAATTATCCAGTCATCTGAAGAAAGCATGAACAATTATGGTTAATCATTATTAGGCAACATAAGTCAATTCTAAGTTCAAATAGTAACATCCTATGAAATTTTATGCAAATCAAAAATATTAATGATTTTGTTTATGTTGCGATCCGCGAGATATTTCACGGATTGAAGAGTCATTAATCAATTAAGAGCTAACCTGTGAGGTAACAGACATGTTATTAGTAAAATATTTCGTTACCGATTTCGTGAGTTTTCTAATTCATTGATTTTTATTATATATGATATTAAGATTGCTTATAATTAGAATAGTTTATTTCTGAAAAGACACAATTATCTAACAGTAAGGACACATACAGTTTTTTCGATTATCTTCTTTATACATGAATATTTAAGGTCCATATTTGTGTCATATATATACTAGTAAAAATTGTAGCAGATGATCAATCTTTGAATACAGCAATGGGTCCTAAAAGCGGGCAAAATAAATCTTACTACTTGTCTATGATTGTAAGAGAAATTCGATTTCCATAGTTTTATTCTCCTATCCCAATCTGTGAAATAAATCCGATTATATTATATTTTGTATTGATTTAGCCTAAACAAAGTCAATATTAATTAAATCAGTGTAAGCAGACAAAACTATAGAAATCGAATTTCTCATATAGTAACAGACGAGCAGTAAGATTTATTTACAGGCTTCTGAATAAACTATTGGACCTAATGACTGATTATATGCTATATTTTTGACTAGTATATATGATATAAATATAAAGCCTAACTGACTATTTATATGTTCCTTTACTTTTGAGCCATCTTGTATACCTAAACATTAAAACATTTTAATTGAATTTCAAGACAGCAAATAATAAAAAAAATAAGTAATAGCATATATTCATATATAAAATCTTAATGTAGCCAATCTAACTTTGACTAAGATAAGACTGACGATAAGAGTACAAAAAAAGATCGAAAAAAATAACTATATTATACATCATTCATTTCACAAACTTCGTTTTGTTTTACATGTGTGGATATATGGTTCATTATGTTTAAGGGAAGAACTACATCCAAAGTGCATCCTTCAAAACACATAAATAACTCAAGCGAAAGAATTTAAAGCAAAATTTGTGAACAGTTTGTACTAGCTGGTACACATAAAAATATAATATGATTCATCCAACCCGTAAATTGTGAAAATATCAAGTTCATAGCTCGTCAAAGATCTAACCCACACACTTAAGCCATAGGTCAGTCCATCAACATCTCTAATGCAAATCTAGACATTCTGCCACGTACGTGATTACTCAAATATGGTCATCAATCTAATTTATAACAGATCAACAAATTTCACATCTATAGAAAAACAAAAAGGTTTTATAGTCGTAAAAATATCGTAAAAAGTCAATTCTAAGATCTTTTTCAAGAGATGAAATTGGTTTATTTCAACATTTGAGAAAGTAGCTTTTGATTTAGAGGAAAGTTTTAGGATATCAAAAGAATTATAATTATGATTGCTGAAAAAAATTATCAATAGGTTTAAAATTTACTTTAATTGACAGTTTCATCAGAAGCATATCCAATAGGAATGAAATTGTGAAGCTTGATGCTTCTTTACTGCTCTCAGTATTCATACATGAAACGCTTGTTACTTCTTAAGGTTTTCTTAAATGACAATAAAAAAATAAACGGTATTCATAGTGTATTGTCTCCTCTACATCTTATATTACCACTTAACATACGGTCGGATCAGTTTCTTTTGTTGAACACAATGATTTTATAATGAAATATAACTTATCTCAACGAATGGATTAATCGTGCCTTCAATTATATTTTGCTTTCTGAAGAAAAAAACATTTTTTTTTTAATACTCATTGTTTTATCATTTCTAAGTTAAATTACTAATTTTTGTATTTTATTTCATCCTAATGCTTTAAAAGTTTAATAGTCTTCATCTGTAAAAATATTACTATTTTTTTCTAAATGTAATATTGTTTTATTTTAGCCTGTGATCCATCCGGTGAACGTATTGTCTTCCTTGATAATAATCTTGCTGAAATAGGTGTATGGTCATTTCATGATTCAACTCAAGATCATTTGCTTCAAAGTCAACCACAACTCTATCAAAAAGTTTATCCATATGCTGCATATTTCTTACCAAATGATACATCATATGTTTTAACTCATCGTCAAGATAAATGTCATCTTGATGAATATGATAATACAAGTGCAGCAAAAAAATCAACATATAATATTCCTCAATCATTACAATCATATTCAATTTATGTTGATGATGCAAAAAAATGTTTAATACCGGATAAATTAAATCATCGTTTGGTTTCAATTGATAAAGATTCAAAAATTGAAGAATATAAATGTAAATCTATTCAAGAACCATTTTCACTAACATTTTTATCGAATGGTACATTATGTGTTACTGATTGGAATAAATCACATGGATCTAGTGGTGGAATTACAATTATTAGTGAAGTTAATTTAAAAGAAAAACAGTAAAATGTGTGGACAAGTTTAAAAATGATGACATATCTTTTTTTCTTGTCTTTGTCGTGCACCTTTTTTTTTGTTCCTGCTATTTCTTTTTCCTCATCATATATTCATAGAATGTAGTCATTTGATCATTTTAAGAAAAACGGAAAAAAGCCCTTATTTGTATTAAATCTGATGGTCAATAGAAAACTTGCGTTGATGTGACGATAAATATTCTTTTTTCATCCATCTATTCACGTCTTTAGTCAGTTTTCTTCTCGGTTCATATTCTTATTATTATTGTTGTTGTTCTAGTTGTTGTTATTTTTTTTGTTATCTATGTCTATTTGGATTTCTATTATCAACGGAAAAAAAGAAATAAACTAAAAAAAATATTATTATTATTATCATCAGTATTTTTTGATCTTTGTCGAATGATGAGATTGATAAAGTCGATACATATAAATTAAGTATATACTAGTACTGCATCGAACTAGTGTACAAAGGTGTCGAACAAGTCACATGTCGGATTGGTAGTTAGCTAGAACAAAACTCAATCGGGTGAATATCTAGCTGGCTCAATGTCTAGTCTGATTGAGATCTAACTACTATGGATAGGTAATAATATATGAAACAAGGCTTTTTTTGTATTGTGGATCTTGATATGATTCCGAATGGCTTAGAATTTTGAATAAGTTTTTGTTGATAGTTTGATGCCGATATTAATGATAGCGATTTCTTCTAGTCAAGTATTTTAATCAATAAACTTTTAAATTTAGTAGTATAGTTCCTATGTGTAAAGGGTATTGTAATAGTTCAGAAGATAAAATAACCGTAAATATTCTTTTTTAACTCTTCGAGTTATTTACATAACATTTTTAAAATTGTATTGAATGCTTGTTAAAATTATGTTTTGTATAATTTTACTTTTAGCCGCTATTTATAATGAAAATGAAAATGTCAATACACTAACAATACATATTTGAAAAAAAAAGAACTGAATAGAGTTCACTTTGAAATCATTTCTGTTCTCTTTATTGATTCCAATTATCAGCTGAATTTCATCGTAAGTAGGCATCTTGCAAGCATTATTTTTCACAGATTTTCATAGAACAAAGCCGAATTGAATTGTAACATTTTCTGAATTCTGTATTAAGTCAGTATATTTTTGTAATAGCCAAAATACATGGTGGCAAGGTAAATTAGCGAACATCAAGATCGGAATATCTGCTATGCTTCTCTTGGCATGATGCTTCGACACTCTTTATTAAAAATAACAG